CTGTTGTCCTCACCTGCATGCAACACCCACTCCACAGCCACACGCCCAGCTCACCACCAACCCAATTTACAACGCAACAACACACACTGGGTTGACTTCACCGCAACCATCAACAACCATCCACCACCACCAGCAGCATCACACGATACACACAGCTGCACATGCGTGTTGCATTGTATGTTTCCACTTCACTTCAGCAACACGACAGCAAGCAAACACACACACACACACAACAAGCGACAGCTCCATGCTACGCCACACCGCTTCACTGCCCCATCAACCGCCATCATACCTTCAGCCAACAACAACAGCAGCAGCAGCAGCAGTGTACATGCTGTGATAAGAGAGAACAGAGAGAGAAAGGGAAGGAGGGAGGAAGACAGAAGGATACAAGGAGAGAGACGTGCACGCTGTCAACAACAACACCACAACAACACAACACACAACACAATGCAACACCACCCGCTCACTCTCCCCTCCTTCTCCAACGAGGTGCGTGGTCTATGGCAGCCCCACGTCTTTCTTGCTTGTCCTGTGCCCTTGCTTGCTCGTGTCCTTGCTTGGTTGTGCGTGTCATGTCATGGGTTCCAACAAACAGCCTGCACTTCCCCTGCACAAGCGTCCATGTGCGCATGTGCGTGTTGGGGGATGACAAAGAGGGAAGAGGGAAGGGAGCAGAAGAAGAAGCAAGGGAGAGATGGGAGGTGCGTGAGCACAGACGATGGTGATGGGCGCACACGACGTGGTTATGGTGAACACACACACACACACACAGCGAAGCAGCAACGCACAACAAACACAACAGACACAAACAGGGGGGAAACAAGAGCAGCAGCAGCGCAACACACACACACACACACACGCACCAAGGGAAGGACATCAGCCAGCCAGCATCATCCAACACCCCTTGCATCCACTGGTCCATCCATGCAGCAGCAGCGGTGGCAGCAGAGGGAGAGGAGAGAGAGGGAGAAAGAAGAGAATGCCCTGCCTTGCCTGCCTTGGCTGTCTGTGCGGGCATGTGTGTCTGCACACCCACCCACTGTGTGTGTGTCTGCGTGTGTGTCACCATCCAAACACACACATGTGTGTGAGACAGAGGGAAGCAAGCAGCCACACACACACACACACACAGTGTGAATCACAAGCACACACACAGCATGAACGACATGCACACAGTCACACGCAGTCACGCATATGCAAGTGCAACGCACCGTGAGGTGGCATCAGACTGCCTGTCAGCGTGTGTATGTGCGTGTGTGTGTTCACACATGTGGGGGTCGATGCAGCGCATCATCCCCCTCTCTGTGCGTGAGCCAAATGCGTCCACAGCAGGGAGTGCGTGTGAGATCACAACACCCACCACAGCCACGTCCCACCTCTCCCTCCTTCACACAAGCACAAACACACACGCACCCACACAGCAGTCAAACCAATTGACAGAATTCGCCCAAACTCACGGTGTCAGCGTGCCATGGACCTGTGCAGCACATATGTCAGCCTCACTGACCGTGGGCAACGCCTTGCATGCCTTTGGCCCTGCACACATCCATGGTGTGGTCGCTGCTGTGCGTGTTGTCTGTTTGCACCTGTGCACCATCACACCATCACCCACCACACCCCACACAGTCCATGGAACCAAACGAGACCACCCACAACAGGACCGCCAGTGAGTGCCCGTCACAACGCGCACCCTCTCCCTCCTCTCCGCCAGCCCTGTGCCAGCCACGCACACGAACAACGCAAGCCACACCCACCCACTCAACACACACACGCACCTTGTCGTTTGCTGCTTGTTGCTTGTTGCGTCTGTGTTGGTCTTGTTGAATCGTGTTTGGGCGATTGGTGGAAGATGCCACAAATAATCGCCCACTGCTGCGTTTGTGCGGCAACTGCTGTTTGCCTTTGCTTGTTGAAGGGCGGACTTGCTTGTTTGCTTGCTTTCTTTGCTTGCTTGCTTGGTTTCAATGAGACAAGAAGAAGAAGCAGAAGAAGAAGGGGGAAGGGAGAACAGCACTGTGTGTGTGAATGCAACGCAGGCTCACAGGCCTTGCAGGCTGAGGAGGGGAGAAGAGAAGGGGAGAAGAAAGGGGGGATGGAAAAGAAGAAGAAACAAACACACACACACACACACACACACACACACACACACAGCTGTGGACAGCTAGCACCCCCTCCCCTCCTCCCTTTCCTCTCCTCTTCTCCGCTGCCTCTCCTTCCTCCTCCTTCCCACAGCCACAACAGACAACCAACAGCCACAAGGGCTGGAAGAGAAAACAAACAAGGGGAGGGGGCAAGAACCACCCAGTCAGATCGCCATGGAAGCAATAGGCAAGGCGATGGAGGGGGCAAAGGAGAACACCGTCCATCAACACACACGCACACACATCTGTTGGGATCCCCCACGTCTTCTGTCCTTGCTTTCCCTCCTTCCTTTCCTCGGCCTGGGTTGGGTTGGGTTGGTTGAGGTGGCACAGCTCGCCATGGCATGGCACGCGTGGATGTGTGGGCATGGGTGTTGGATGTGGATGGGTTCCTCTGTGTGTGTGAAAAAAGGGGGTGGAGGGAAACAGTGAAAGGGGTGGTAGCAGCAGGGGAGGAGGAAGAAGGAGAAGAAGCAAGGGGAAGGGGTGGATGTGAGCATGCCATGCGTGAATGGACAGCAACAACACATGGGGTGGGATGGTGATGACGTGCCTGGTGTTGTACGTAGTTGTGATGGCACAAGCACACAAAGGTCAACCACAAGTACACACACCTCGTCGTCGATCAACGCATCTTCCTGACATCTGCGCACACGCGCACGCACATCTGCAGTCACACACACACACACGCAGTCAGACATGGCATTGCAGAGTGAGACAGCGCACCACGCACACCCATACACAGCAATGCAACACAACCACCACAACCACCACAACGACAACATATCTCCCCCCATCTCCATCCCCAAAATGCACGGTCACATGACCAGGTACACAGCCGTGGTGGTGATGGTGGCCACGATGAACGCCTTCCTCCCGCGTCCCCTCAACCCCCTTCCACCAAACACACACACCATTGCGTATCCTCACCTCGTGCATCGTGTCGCTGTCGGCGTGATTGATGGCGATGCACACACATGCACACACGCACACATGCACACACATCGCTGTGTGTGTCCCCGGTTGAGATGAGCAAGGGGAGGGAGAAAAATGGGTGACACGACACGATGGCCAGTCAACACCAGCCAATCCAATCCAGCATCACCGCCGTGTGTTGCCTGCTGCAGTCATCATCACAATCACACAATCACAATCACACAAGCAAAAGGAATGAGCCACTGATATGTGTGTCATTGTCATGTGATATCACCACCACACGATATTGCGTGCATGTGCACACGCACCCTCATCCCCCAACCAACGTCATCGCCCTCCTATCACTTCCCTTCCCCCTCCCTCCTTTCGCTCTGCACTCCCACGTCGCCTCATCACCACCACCACCACAATCACCGTGTCACTTTCGCTCCTCCCCCGCTTCCCACCACTCGACACAACACAGCCCACCAACCAACTAACCGCCAACGATCATCCTCACCTGTGCTTAATGCAGCCAGCCAGCCAGCCGATGTGCCACAGCGAGAGCCAGAAAAATGGAACCGCAATCACATGCCACGGCCACCATCGTCATCGCTGATGGAGCAGAAAGAGGAGATGAAGGGGAAGAGTGGCGGGCACCGGCCGTGTCCTTCCTTGTCCTCATCGGTGCAGCCCCAAACACGGTGCACAGCGCACACGCGCACGCACGGCCATCATCACAGCACCACCACCAGCACAAGCATGCCTGCCCTGCCTGCCTGCCTGTGAGGCAAGAAGAACAACCAGAGACGAACAACGATGACCGGTGGTGGTGAGGACACGAAAGGAGGGACACAAGGGACCACGCATGGGAATATGCAGCATGATGTGGGCGGGGTGCATCACCTACACACAAGACCAACGAAGCAAGCACCCAACAAGCAAGCAACCAAGCGAGCAAGCAAGCAGGCACACCACATCCACCACATCCACCACTGCTGAAATACCTGTGTTGGCCGCTGTCTCGATCATGCCTCAACAGCTCCACATCACATGGGGAAGGCTGATGATGATGATGACACAGAGCAAAGACGATTAGTTGGGAAAAGGAGGAAGGAAATTTGGTTGGGGAAACCCGCACTCATCCGCCTGCAGCCACGCACACACGCACACACACACATTTGAGTTGTGTGATTGATTCATGTGAGACACACGTCAGTGCAACCACCCCACAGCCAATGCCTGCTGTGGTGTGTTGGCATGTATGTGTACATGCGTGCGTTTGCGTGTACGTGCGTGCGCATGTGCGCTACCACCCCATCACATACACACACACACACACAGCGGCAGCGTCTCACCTCGTGCCTTCTTCTCTCGCACGTATGTGTGTGCGTGTATCGCCCTGCTCGTGTCATGGGGGCTTGGGAAGAAAACGGCCACCGCCATGTGCAAAATCACACACATGTACACACGCGCAAGCACAAGCAACCAAATTAGCAAGAATGACATGACGCAGTGAGCCAGCATGGCAGAAACAAACCACGTCCACCTCCTTGTGCCACATTCACATCACCCACATCACCACCTGTGCACGCACATGTCACATCCCCACACACAGACACCACCATCACCACCATCACAAGCATCACATCTGCACATGCGTGTGCGTGCGCCGTCCAAATTCACCACAAACCACTCACCACCACCATCGTCATCGTCATGTGAGGCAACAGCACATCGACGCACATCACACCCTGTACGTGTGCGTGTGGAGGAAGAGGTGAGTTGTCAAAGAATCAGGCTGTCAACGACAACAAAACCCATTGCCACCACCAACAGACCCAACGACATCCAACCAGCACTTCACAATCACACATACGACATGCTGATGTTCACACTCAGCACATCACACGCTACCCACATCACCACAACCACCACCATTCATCTCACCTCCACATCCATGGCCGCTGCCGCTGCTGTTGGCGACCAACGGCAACGAGGAGGAGGAGATGGACGAGAGAGACGGAGGGCCAGTTCATCCACAATGCAGCCACACATCAGCTGTTGCTGTTGTTGCTTGTGGTGGAAAGGGTGAAAACAAACGGCCCCTTGCCACGCCGTGTCCGTGGCTCGCTCACTCGGCTGCTTGGTTGGTCGGTTGGATGGAAGCGGATGCATGGCCCTGTGTCCAAATCAATCGAAAAAGGGGGAAGAAGAAGAAAAGACACATGAGTGGACAGAACAGACAAGAAAAGAGGGAAGCGAAGAAGGAAATATGTACAACATGTCAACCAACACACACACACACACACACATCTCAGTTGCCCTCTCACCTTCATCACTCGTCATCGTCATCGTCGTTGGTGCCACCGCTTCATGCGCCTCGCCAACGCTGTGAAACGTGTGTGTGCACAGACATACGAAGAGGAGAATGTGGGGGGGGGAGGGTTGACAGCGAAGCATCATTAACCACACGCCAGCCCCATCGAACCACCCGCATTGACACACAACCACACGCACACATGTTGTCCCCACCACCACCATGCACACACACGCACATTGCTCACCTCTTCATGAGAGCGACTGACATGTGCAATGTCTGCCTCACGCCAGATTGGAGCTCGTGTCGGCCGAAGTGTGATGGCGGCTGTGCCGTCGATGGTCGTGGTGATGGCGGTGGTGACAGCTGAGCTGTGGTGGAAGAGAGATAAAAGGAGAGAGAAATGGGGAAGTTGATGATGATGGGGTCGTTCATGGCGGCTTCTTCCCCCTCCTCTGATGTGGCACTGGTGCGCATGCAACCAACACACAACGACAAGACACAACAACATCAACACACACAAGGCACAGGCATGGCATGTGAGCACAGCAGGCGTGTTCACCTTCCTGCCCCTCCTCTGCCCTCCCTCATCCTCGCCCACACACACACACACACACACACACACACACACACACACACACACACACACACACACACACACACACACACACACACACACACACACACACACACACACACACACCTGCACATGATTGCGTCGCTGTGGGTGGATGTGCCCGCCATGACCATGGACGTGTGTGTCCACACAGCTGCTCCTCCCGATCCATCGTGTGTGCACCGCCCATCATCATCCTCCAACGATCCTCACACAGTCGCCCCCCTTGCAGCCACAAGCATACACATATCGCATGTGAGCTGCACAACTACACTGGTGCACGAGGCACAGCAGCGACAACACCAAGCACACCCAGAGCAGCAACAACACCAACACATGCGACATGTGCCAACCAAAGCAGCCATGATGGGGCTCACCTTGCTCACGCATATGGGAACACTGCGTGAGCAAAGAAGCGACAGCCGAAATCAGGGGAGTTGCAGCAGCAGCAGCCGGCATGCTAGCCCACTTTCCATCAACATCCTGATGTGTGCTAGTACCTCACCAACCTGTGCATGCGTGTGTGCGTGTGCATGGGTGCAGGGAAACGTGGATGGGAACACAACACAACAGGCACAGAGCAAGCCATCATGACAGCAGAGCAGAAGAAGTGAGTGACATCACACGCACCACGTGTACGTGTGTATGTGTGCGTATGTGTGTGTGTCGGTGCGTGACCATCATCCCCCATGAACCCTCCTCCTCTTGTTCGCTTCACCACATCCCATCACCGCACCCCATCACACACACAATCAACCACCCATCACCACCTACATACCATGTGTGAGGCAAGTGCACCTGGTACGCGTGGCAAGTAGCCTCGACATTTCCCTCATCCTGCTTGTGCGAGAACATCACCTACAAGTGTGGTTGTGTGCGAGCACCAGCATGGTGAGTGAGTGGGAGGGAAGAGGAGGCATGGATATGTGCGCAGATACACTGCTGCTGCTGCCATTGCTGATGGTGTGCATGCGTGTGTATGTGAAGAAGAAAGGGAAGAGAGAGAAAACAGAAAACAAAAGGGAAGGGAACAAGACATGCTGCACCCCATTCCACCCATCCATCCCTCTTCCTCACACCACCACACACCACCATCCTCTGTCACCAGCCACACCACACCACACCACACCCAGCATCCCCCACCCCACCTCATTCCATCCATCCATCCATCCATCCAGCCAACACGCATCTCCTCTCCCTTCCCCTCTTCTTCTCGCCCTCACCTCTGCTTGCTGCTGCTTCCAGCCGAAAATGCAGCTTGTGCTGTCGCCACCTGTTGCCACCAGCAAACAGCCAGCAGCAGTGGGCGATGGGTTGGTTGGCTGGGGAATGTGTTCAGCTGCAAGTGATGCTGGTGGTGGTGCATTCTCTGCTGCTGCTGCATCGGCGGTGGAGGGTGTGTTGGCTGCTGTTGTTGTTGTTGTTGTTGTGATGGCCGCGAGGGAGGGCGAGGAAGAGAGGGGAAGATAAGCAGCAGCTGCAAGGTGGAGAATGTACAGGTGTGCAGGCGGTTGTGTGTGAGAGCGACGAATGAGACAGCGCATCAAGCAAGGCAAAACATGCAGCCACACGACACACATGCACACATTGATGTGGGACAACAAGGGGAGACAGGAGCAGCAGAGACAGCGACCACAAAATACGCACGCTGCCGCTGTGCGCAGCACGCACACATGCAATGATGCACTCACGTTGCTCATGGCTCGCTTGCTTTGTGGGGTGGTGTGGTGTGAGTTGGTGTTGCTGCTTCCGCAGCCGCACAAGCATGGCTGAATGGTCATCACATGGCAGCGCCCGTCTGTTCATCCCACCAGAGCAGTGGTGGTGGTTGGTGGAGGGGGAGGGGGTGACAGCTGCTGGTTCAAGGGCCCTCTGTGTGGCGACAGCAGAAAGGAAGGAAGGGGAAACGAGCATGTGTGGAAGGTGATTGTGGTGTTGAGGGTGGGAAGGGAAGGATGTGAGCAAACACACAAGAAAATGAGGAGGTGGTGATGATGGCGTGTGGATGGGTGGAGAAGAGCACACACACACACACACACACACACACACTCACACACACACACACCCTCACCTGCCACGCGTTGTCGCCGCTGAACAGGTTGATCCTGGCAGACTCCAGCGCTGACAGTAGCAAACAACACAATCATGACACACGAGTTGGCAGATGGTGAGAGTGGTTGAATGGACACGAGAACAAGCAAGCCACGCACATACCACACCGTACTCGCCACACTCATTCGACAGCCCCCTGTGCCAACAACGTACTCCCTCACCTGTGTGCACTTGGGTGGAGAGGGACTTGAAGAACTCCTCAAACACAAACACAACGCGTCTCTGCATCATCTCCACCACCTTTTCAGGGATCGACCGCAGGATCCTCGGACGCTGAACACAGTTGTGTGTGTGTGTGTGTGTGTGTGTGTGTGTGTGTGTGTGTGTGTGTGTGTGTGTGTGTGTGTGTGTGTGTGTGTGTGCGACGTGATGTGCAAGCCATCACCAACCACAATCCCCACTCAAACCACATCACCCCTCACGCATCGCTTCACATTCCCATGTCACCGATGTGTCACCACACCTCGAGGAGCCTGTGTTCGGGGAATGCGGATGCTGAACGTCTCCCAGTCCAGCAGGCCCTGGTAGGGCTGCAAGAATGCAAAAAGCAAACACCAGAACATTACATCGCAGCACTTTTGAGCGACGGGAGGGTACATCTCCACACACACACACACGCACACACACACACACACACGAAGTGTCATTCATCCATACGCACCAGCACGTAGTGATCGACGACAATGACGGGGATGGCACCCGCAGCCACGATCAACGAGGCATGAAAGGGGGTGGCGGGAGGTGGAAGGTGGGTAAGAGCACAAACAGGACCGAAATCGTCTGCAACACGCACGCACACACGCACGCACACGCACACGCACACGCACACGCACACGCACACGCACACGCACACACACACACCTGAAGGAGTGGTCGCCAAATCCATCCACGATGAGCCCAAACTTGGTCTCCAGCGCCAGTTGCGTGTACGTGTGCGTGTTGAACTCTTCCTCTGCCTGCTTACACGAGGGGTCATATCCAAACCTTCCCCTCACGGCCCATTCGCTCTTCGCCAAACCACCTGCACGCGCACACCAACACAGTGTCCCTGCGCATACACAAGCAAACATACAAAGGGACAATATGTGCGTGTGTGCGTGTGTGTGAGGTGGATCCAGAACGACAAGCACACAGCATCAATACCAGTTGACTCCGAGGCAACGCACGAGACACACACGGAACACAGTAACACACAACACATTACACGCGTAGCACAACACACCTGCCGTGTTGCAGCTTGGGGAGGTGGTTGCGCATGGCATCAAGAACGAGCAGACTTAGTGCCCCTGCACAACAGGGAAAGAAGACACATGTCAAGCAGTGGCATCACAGCAGGTTTGGAATGAGATTGCAGTGGCACAAGAAGGGCGAGTGGTGGTGCAGTGAGCGACACCAACCCCTCAAAACCCAGCAGCAGCAGCAGTGAACATCGAACCCCACATCGCACCACGTCACAACACACATGCATGCACACACCTGAAGCTGACGAGGTATTGCCTGCTTGTGCGGGTGGAACGCGTCGCTGCTCCGGTGTGAATGGATGTCACCGTAGAGAAGAGTGGCATGGACACATCGAGGCGGTCATGGTGGTGGAATTCACTGAAGTGGTGTGATGAGATGGACCAGACAGGATTGGTGAAGCGTGTAAGCATCAGCAGTCGCACATGGTGCGTGCCAACCCCATATTCACTTCTATTCCAACACATACACACACACACACACACACACACACACACACACACGAGGAAGAGGTGATGGACGAGCCTGGACATGCCATGCAGCAAGCCGTTGCCAGCCACCACACACTTCCATACCACTTCTGGAACAGACAGCACGGCTGCGCCCACCGCACTTGCGGCTGCATCGACGATGAGGATGGATGGCGAGTTGCATGGAATGCCGTCGCAGGATGAGGATGGATGGCGAGTTGCATGGAATGCCGTGGCAGGAAAAACGCCATTGTCCGCAGCCACGCCGCTGATCCACTTGCATCCGCCGTGTAGCAGCCCACCAAGCGTGCTTGTGTCTGCTGTGCTCGTGCTGCGATCAATGGTCACGCCCATAGACGAGGGTGTTGCGAGCCACAGCACACGCCGCCTGCAGTGCCCACATGGCTTGCAGACTGTTGATGGTGGTCGTGTCATCCACTGCTGCTGTCACTGCTGCTGTCACTGCTGCTGCTGTTGTTGATGATGGGCTGATGATGAGCACAGAGGTGGTGGGAGTTGCATCAAAGGGAGGGATGCCGTGGATGAGGCCGTTGCTGGCGACGACGCCACCAACCCCCAATAGCAGTTGCCAGTGCCCTTGCCGAGTACATCTTGGATGCTGTTGCCAGACGGTGGGCTGACTGACAGTGTTTTGTGGCTTGTCACACATGTATGCAACGAGCCAAGAAGGAGACTTGTTTGTGGTTGTTCACTGCCTGGCTGGCTTGCTTGCCATGCACTTGTCGTGCCTTTGTCCCGGTTGTAAGCAGCACAGCAGTTGATACCCCCTTCCCTTTCGTTCCTCCACGCAGAGCACTGCTCCTTGTCAAGCCGTTTCCCCCTGCCGTGTGCGTGCATGTGCGTGTCTGTGCGTGCTTGTGCGTCTGCCTTCCATCTCACAGCAGCGAACCCTTTCAACAACAAAGCAGAAAGTGCTGACTCGGCACAATTCTGTTTGTGTTTGTTTTTTTTTTTGGGGAAGAAGACAAGAAGACAAGAATGCGTGCAACGGCAGTGACAGCGCTGCTGTGGGTTGGTGGCAGTGCGCTGTGTGCGTCGTCCAAGCTCAAGTCCAATGCACCAACCTCCAAGATCAAGGTGTGAGTGTGTGTGTGTGTGTGTGTGTGTTTGAAGCGGCTTACGTGCGCATCCCCTCGTCCTATCGCTGCTCTCATCTACCAACACCTCTCCCCCCCCCACACACACGCACACTCGCACACACCGCGCTGACAATCGGACGTTTGCGTTTGCTGGCAACATGGCGCAGACGTCCGTAACGCGTGAGGCGTGTGCCACGCTCTGCTACACCTTCAAGAACGTTTCCCCTCAAGCGCCGTTGAGTACGGCTACCAATGCTTCTTCTGCGAACACCCAAGCTGAATTCCACCGCGCAGTCCCAGCGGTGTGTGTGTGTGTGTGTGTGCATGTGTGTGTGTGT